GAATGTGCTCCGCCCCATTCTTATCCTTCTAGCTACTTCAATCTCGTGGTTCGGCTCTGCGGTTATTACCTGCCCTAAGTAGACATAGTCTTTTACAACTTCAAGTGCACTATTACCTATCTCGAAGTGCTGCTCCTTGCCGAGGTTGTTGTACATTACTTTCATTTTCTGCAGAATAATTTTAAGACCCACCTTTCTGCTCTCCTTGTCTAACTCCGTAATCATGAGTTGCAATTCGTCCCCCGAGTTACTCAGCAATGCAATGTCATCGGCGAAGCGCAGGTTACTAAGGTATTCTCCATTGACTCTTATCCCTAACTGTTCCCATTCTAGGCTTCTGAAAACCTCCTGTAAGCACGCGGTAAATAGCATTGGGGAAATTGTGTCCCCCTGCCTTACACCCTTCTTGATTGGTATTCTGTTGCTTTCTTTATGAAGCACTATGGTAGCAGTTGATCCCCTGTAGATTTCTTCCAGAATGTTTATATATACTTCATCTACACCCTGATTCCGCAGTGTTTGCATGACGGCTGATATTTCTACTGAATCAAACGCATTCTCGTAATCTATGAAGGCTATGTATAGTGGTTGGTTATACTCTGAGCATTTCTCTATTACCTGATTGATAGTATGAATGTGGTCAATTGTTGAGTAGCCTGTTCGAAATCCTGCTTGTTCCTTTGGTTGATTGAATTCTAATGTTTTCTTTACTCTGTTAGCAATTACCTTTGTAAATAGCTTGTATACTACAGAGAGCAAGCTGATCGGCCTGTAATTCTTCAAGTCCTTGTCATCTCCTTTCTAATGTATTAAGATGATGTTAGCGTTCCTCCAAGACTCTGGTACTCTTCCCGTCAAGAGACACCTCGTAAACAGGGTGGCTAGTTTTTCTAACACAATCTGTCCTCCATCTTTCAGCAGATCTGATGTTACCTGATCCTCACCAGCAGCTTTGCCCCTTTGCATGCTCTCCAAAGCTTTTCTGACTTCTATCATTACTGGTGGGGTGTAATCTGGGTTACTGCTAGTTCTTATAGTATTAAGGTCGTGGTTGTCTCGGCTACTGTACAGATGTCTGTAAAACTCCTCTGCTATTTTAACTATCCTATCCATATTGGTAGTTATTTTGCCTTCTTTGTCCCTTAGTGCATACATCCGACTTTTGCCTATCCCAAGTTTCCTCTTCAATGCTTTGACACTTCCTCCATTTTTCAGAGAGTGTTCAATTCTCTCCATGTTATACCTTCTTACATCGCATACCTTACGTCTATTAATCAACTTCGAAAGCTCTGCCAGTTCTATTTTGTCTGTTGTACTTGACACTCTCATGATTTGACGCTTCTTAATTAGGTTCTTCGTTTCCTGGGAAAGCTTGCCAGCGTCCTGTCTAACTACCCTGCCTCCAACTTCCATTGCACACTCCGTAATGATACTCGTCAGATTATCATTCATTGTATCTACGCTAAGGTTGGTTTCCTCACTAAGAGCCGAGTACCTGTTCTGCAGCGACACTCTGAATTCCTGTACTTTCCCTCTCAGTGCTAGCTGATTGATTGGCTTCTTGCGTATCAGTTTCTGTCGTCCCTTCTTCAAGTCTAGGCGAATTCGAGACCGTACCATTCTATGGTCACTGCATCGTACCTTGCCAATCACTACCACATCCTGCACGATTCCAGGGTGTGCACTCATTATAAAGTCTATTTCGTTCTTATTTTCGCCATTAGGGCTCCTCCATGTCCACTTGCGGTTTTCTCGTTTTCAGTAGAAGGTATTCAAAATCCTTAAATTACTGCGTTCTGCGAATTTACTAGTAGCTCTCCTCTGGCGTTTCTAGTACCGATGCCATAATCTCCTACTGCCTGGTCTCCAGCCTGCTTCTTCCCTACTTTCGCTATAAAGTCGCCCATCACTATAGTATACTGTGTTTTTACCTTACTCATTGCCGATTCCACGTCTTCATAGAAGCTTTCAACTGAAGCTTCATCATGGCTGGATGTAGGCGCGTAAGCCTGTACTACCTTCATCTTGTATCTTTTATTCAGTTTAATTACGATACCTACCACCCTTTCATTAATGCTATAGTATTTCTCTATGTTGCCAGCTATGTTTCTGTGAATTAGAAACTCCACTCCCAGTTCTCTTCTGTCTTCCAAGCCCCTGTAGCAAAGGACGTGCCCATTTTGTAGCACCGTATAGGCCTCATCTGTCCTCCTAACCTCACTGAGCCCTATTATATCCCATTGAACACCCTCTAGCTCCTCGAATAGTACAGCTAGACTTCCCTCACTAGATAAGGTTCTAGCGTTAAACGTTGCCAAGTTCAGGTTCCAATGGCGGCCGGTCCGGATCCAGAGATGCTTATCACCCTCTGCTGCGTTGCAGATCTGACCGCCGCCGTGGTCAGTTGCTTCGCAGATGCTGGGGGACTGAGGGCCGTGAGGTATTTGACGTAGGCATGTGGGAGGTAGTGGCCAGATACTGCACCAGGGTGGCCAATCCTTCTCTGGTGAGGGAGTGCGTTCTCGGCGGTGTTTGCCGGTGAGGCCGCACCCCAGGCCTCTTAATGCAGTTCCATCAACACGCGGGTTTTTTTTTATCCGGTTGGGATCTGCGCGGTACCGGGATTTGAACCACGGACCTCTTGCATGCGAGGCGGATGCTCTGACCACTACGCCATCGCCGCAGCATACGTTCATATACTATAACGCAATCAACTGACACGCTTTGCCGCTTGTCAGTTGATTGATGGAAGATGCTCCGTTCGCCGCTATCAGTGCAAGACTGCAGTCCAATTTTCCGTTTAATGGGCACAGGATCGACCAAATAAACAATTTATTATCCAACTCGCAGTGTGCCCCATCCGCCTACGTCATGACCCCGTGACAATATCTGTTCAGTGTTTGACCGTGTCGTAGAAAAGACCAACACGTCGTGAAGTGGCTCCGTCCTCATAGGAGAAAGTTGCAGCATATGACAGTAGTTTTGGTCTAGAACAATAGTGAACTGCAGCGCGGTATATAAAAGTCGAAAAGTCGCTTTGTGTAGGTACGTATTTACATTTTGTGCTAAAGATTTGGAAATCTTGTAGTGTGAGCACGAACGACACTCTCTGAAATGCCCTGAATCAGTTATTTCAAAAGACTTGTCGCATACGGACACGAATGTCAGCTTGCAGAATATTGTTCTTAATCACGAGATGAGTTGCCACTGCACGAGAAACATAGCCCAGCATGAAAGGGGCTTACATAGGGTGCTGAAGTTGATAAATTTTTATGCAAGGGTAGACAGTTAGCCCCACTTGTCTCAGCCAGGGCAGCAACTGCTTATTCTTAGCTTCCTTCTTGTGCATACGCATATGTTTGTCTTCCACGCTTACATTGGGGGAGAACAAAACACAAAGAAATACTTTACGTAGCCTTTACTGCAGGCGAAGTGAGAAAGCTCCAAAGGCGAAAAAAAATTATCACAACGTATCCACGGAGTGAAAGATGTTGAGTCGGGCGAAGCGTCCGTCCGTGCGTCCATCTGTCCACTCGTTTGTTCTTGCTTCCGTTCATGCGTCCGTCAGTCCATCTGTCTTTCCATACGTTCATCCATGCGTCCGTGCCTCTGCCTGTGTGACCGGATGAACGCACGGACGGAAGCACGGATGGACTGATGAACGCATGCACAGACGGATGAAGGAAGCAAGAACGGACAGATGGAAGCGCGAATGAACGGAAACACTGGCGCATGGGTGGACGGACAGACGGACGCATGGATAAACGAAAGCACGGACGGACGGACAGACAGACGGCCGAACAGAATCACGAATGGACGCACAGACGGAAGCACGGACGAACAGAAGCACAAACGTACAGACGGCTGCACTTTCGATGGAGGCGGAAATATTGTAGGCCCATGTGCTCAGGTTTCGGTGCACGTTAAAGAACGCCAGGTGATTGAAATTTCCAGAGTTTTCCACTACAGCGTCTCTCATAATCATATGGGGTTTTGGGACGTCAAACCCCACATATGAATCAATCAATAAAGAGTTGTAACCTTGACAGAACGAAGTATACTTCCAAGTAGCTTTAGCTTTCTATTCTTCTTACTGCTTTCTTTTTGCTCTATACTTTTGGCCACTGGGTGCTCATCGTGTTTTTTTAATCTTGCCGAACGATTGTCATGTTCGCATATCATTTAGCCCGCACTGCCCGAATGCCGCAGTTCTTGAATATTTGTGTGATCATGTTTAATTTTGTTGTTTACTTGTTTCACTGATTCCACAGGTGTCATTTTCATGCCAATAATACGATACGTTATTGTGAAGGCATTTGGCACAATGTCAAAGTGTATCAAGTGGCAGCGTTTAAAAAATATCGTTGGATATATTACCAGTCGTGTGACAATAAAAAAAAGACGCTGTGAAGCTTTCGGACCCGAGCAGAAGAAAGAGTCAACGACGATGCTAGATAACTAGAATGGGTAACACGTGATGGTGACGAGAAGGTGTCATTCGTAAAAATAATTCAACGTTTTAAATGGCCCGTTCGTCAGTCATAAGTTTCCAGGGGTCGCTAATAATGAACTTCAACAACACCATCATCATAATGATGATAATAATCACCGTCATCATTATATCTACAGCTACTAAAAGATGTAGTGGAGTCGATCTGATCGAATAAAATAAGAGTGCTGCGCTTTCCTCCATTCATTTTATTGCGAAGGGCTCTAAGTGACTTAGATTCGTTCGTTAATGTTGTGTGTTACGTGCAGTTCGACAATTATCATCACTCTGAGAAAGTTGTGTTTTAAAGTTTCACTACGTAACTGTACGTACTTGTAATTCGAATATCATGATAACCTGACTGTAAACTGTGTTTCCGAGCACACTAGTGGTTCCTTGACTGAGAAAAATAGCGATGTAGACTTGTTGATTTGCGGCGCTCCTTGCCGCCCTCATATGTTCGAAGTAAATGAATTTCTCGTCCTTTCTTCCACCTTTCGACTTCCTGAAGCTGAATGGCGAGAATACCGTGGGCGAGAATATCGCCGACAACGGCGGCATCAGGATTGCATTCAAGGTGCGTAGCGATGATTCACCACACTATTGTCTCTGATGACACCTTTTCGATCATTAGTGGAAATGTGGGAGAAACATTGTGGTGGCAATCATTCCTAAAGTTTTGATGTCGTGATGTCACTATCTTGATGTCATGGCCGCCGTAGAGTGAACTCCGAGCTAACTCGTCTGCCCGAAGCTCGGGCCATCCTGCGTAGCCCCCCAAGTCAGCAATGCAAGTTTGTAGTATTATTGCTGAAATTGATAAAAGGAACAGGTAGTGCAGCGTAACATACTATAAGAGAAAAAAGAAACAGAAAATGAGAGTGGAATAAGGATCCTTTAAACTACAGCAAGAGTATTATAAGTTGTCTTGAAACATAATGTTTTTTCGTGGCAGGCGAGCGTTATGTGTTGAGAATTAAAATATTTCTCCCAAGGCAAGGTTAGGAATCGTGTCATCACCGCAGGTATGCATGTGCAACGTTCCTTTCGATTCAGCACATGGAAGTAGCCTCCATATAGGAGCCACAGAACATTTAGTAACAGCTTGTATATTCACTTCATTTTGTGTTAGTGAAAAAGAGAGAGAGAATGGTTATAAAAGACAGACAGGAAGGTAAACCAGGGCTAAGCCCGGTACATACCCTGCATAGGAGAAAGGGGAAGGGGGAATGGATGTTCAAGAGAAGAGAGAAAAGCACTCTAGTCGTCTATGCAACAGCAGTTTGACGCCTCACACCACAATGGTGGGTTTGGCCCGTGGCTGAAACCAGAGTAACGCAATCGTTACTTTACGCAACTTGTATGGGCAGTCGCATATTTCCGAAATCATGTCGATGGTGAAGCTAGAGGTGGGGGGAGGGGGCGGCTGCTGGTGTTCTCAAGCAACAGACTTCTGCAAGCCTGCGACAACTGGAGGGATGATGCCCAGCAGTTGCAACACGCTTCGGCATCAGCAGCAAATGATTAGCACTGAATATGGGGTTCCTCATGTCAACAACTTGTTTATCTGGTGCTGATTAACTGTCTCGTACTGATTAAAGATGATGAGAATGAGGGCCTACAGAGATTGCTACCTGTGCTCGAGTAGGAGTAACGGGTGACAATGCATAAAGAGAAGAGAGTTTGTAACGAAACTGCAAAGCAATCACAATTGACACTTTTAGAATAGTTTTTGCAGCGTCAACAATCCATGAGTACGATACGCTAATTTCGTAACTTAACATGTTATCCTAGAGGATATCGTACGACGCATGCGCAGTGACGAGGAGCGCTCAGGCAAAGATTCGTGTACCTTTTTTTAAAACGGCCCAATCTCACTGTCAAAAATCAACACAGTTGCTGAACTCCGGATGCAGTGAAATAATCGCGTATCTTATACTCAAGCGCACGCGCTTTGACTCTCAAGGAGCAGATTGATTGATTGATGGATTGATTGATACGTAGGGTTTAACGTCCCAAAACTACCATATGATTATGAGAGACGCCGTAGTTGAGGGCTCCAGAAATTTTTACCACCTGGGGTTCTTTAACGTACACCCAAATCTTAGCACACGGGCCTACAGCGTTTTCGCCTCCATCGAAAATGCAACCGCCGCAGTCGGATTCGATCCCGCAACCTGCGGGTGAAGAGCCTAGTACCTTAGCCACTAGACCACCGCGGTGGGGCATCTCAAGGAGCAGCGCTCTCAGCCACGTTAGGCCAGCTGGAAGAGCACCACTGAAAGAACACTACATTATTGGGCACTGTCCTGTACGTACTTCTAGTCGAGCGACCATGAGGGCTTCTTATGGAAATAACATAGAGCACGACTTTTTCGATTGTCAACATTGTTTGGATGTGAAGAAGTAAAAAGAATATATTTGTTTTTTAAGAACACTCTCATTTTGTCGTTTTTCAGACTTATGAATACCTTTTGAAGACAAGTGAAACTCGTGATGTGCGACTTCCTGGCTTAGAACATCTCTCGGGCAAGCATTTATTCTTCATCGCCAACGGAATGGTAAAAAAGTGTTGCTCCTGTTATAGATGCGTGTGTGTTTCTATTTATCTTCTCTTATGAAATTTACCAGCATTTTCGAAATATTTTACTACGTAATGAGAAAACTTTAAACAGAGGTTATCTGCCTGGTGTTGAAACATGATTAGTGTGGTTTCAGCCAGTGGCTTTAAAAAGCCATACGTATTTATAGCGCCAACAGATAGCGAAAATGGATCAGTGCATGCGTTGGCGGCACTAAATGAATCTTCGATCATCGCATGGTAATCGAAGACGACTTTTCTTGGCAGCGCTGTGAAAAGTACAAAGTCTAAATGCATGGCTGCGTGTCCCTTGAGAAATAGCACATAATTTTGTGATAGCTTTCTCGTTTTCTTGTTAATTTATACAGAGGTTTATTCATTATGAGAGTGAACCAGTCACATGGAAATGTTGGTAAAACAACAATACTGTGTGCTTCACAAGATCTTTCTGCTCCCTCAGCTCTTTAGAAAGCAACAGATTTTAGGCATGCCTGTTTGCCAAAGTAAGCATCACATCCCTGGTGTGACTGGTGGTTCGTGGTGTGTTGGAAGGCTCACTGTTTTAGATGTGCATGACTAGTGAACGGGTAACGTGGCATTAAAATGTGCATTGAGCAATCAAAATGTCTGCCTCTGATTAAAGATTTGATTTTGTTTTTTAGACGAGGCAACGCTGCGTGATTGCAAAAGTGATACTGGGCGCGAAACCAGCTACAACCTGCCGGAGCCCTACCAGAGTACCACGAATGTGCACGAATGTAGCGTTCGCCTCACTGCCAAAACGAGCTGCCCCCGAGTATAGTAGCAGCGCAGCACGCAATGCAGTCCCAACATGCAACGTTCCTTGTTGCGGAGTGAGCTAGCTACGTGAGAAAAATTTGTATATCATCCTTGCAACGGGGACGCAGCAAAGAGTCGAACTGACACACAGTCGCTAACTCGCAACTGTTTATTAACCGAAATCATGCCGACTTTATATATATATATATATATATATATATATATATATATATATATATATATATATATATATATATATATATATATATATATATATATATATATATATATATATATATATATATATATATATATATATATATGGCCGAACAGGGTAATCTCATCACAGTATTGTAAACATGGATGAAATGATAATTATGAGCCACTGAACCATAGCAGAGATATACGCCGAGAACTGCACTGACCCGCGATGTAAAATCATGCCAACATAGAAAAGCATGTTCATTAGAGAATCCAAACTTGCAAAACGCAAAAGGGACAGCACACAACCTAAAGTTGGTACGTCTACAGGCCATATTTTTAAAAAATCGCTTCTTTCATGCTTAAAATTAGTCACGGTACACTAATGCAGTGAATGCCTGCAGTTTTTATTGAGAATGAGCAATCACAACTTAAATGCTGCTCTTTAGCTGGCGTGTGGTGCACAACCATGACGCTTTCAATGGTCTATAATGTTGCTGCTGACAACCAAGCGTTGCTGAATTTCACAGTCGTTAAATTAACGGGCCATTTGATTGGTGTACATCTCCGCAAATTATATGGAAATGTTGTATACAGCATGCTGCTGGCTGGTACATTCGATGTATTGCGTGGCATGCTTCTCTAATTATGGAGGCGGAAATGTTGTAGGCCCATGCGCTCAGATTTGGGTGCACGTTAATGAACCCCAGGTGGTCGAAATTTCCGGAGCCCTCCACTACGGCGTCCCTCATAATCATATGGTGGTTTTTGGGACGTTAAACCCCACATATCTCGAATTATGTGGCTGGCTACTATGAGCCATAAAAAGGAAACTTGTGACCTGTTTTCAGGGAGCGGAAAACACCAATACGCAAACTGTGTTGGCCTGTGATCTTCTTTTTGTGCGAGGGCCACGTGACTCTGTTTCAGTGGCTCATGAATCGTTAGTTCGTTCACGGTTCTACTTATGTGATAAAATGGCCTCCTTAGCAGCATATACAAATCAGCATGGTTTCTGTGCGTAAAGACTTAGAAGATGCGTCTCTCAGTTCATGTCTTCAATTCGTTTCTGTCATTTTAGCGTCATACCAATTCTTCTTCATTCAATATTACCGGTCAGCATATAAATCAAGCGTTTCATGCTTAGTCGTGGTTAAGAGTGCAGCTGTCATGGCGTTGCACTCTATAGGTAACGTAAAGTGAGTCGAAGCTGATGAAACCAATCGTATCTATCGTGTTGGCGTTTACAGGGAATCTAATATGGTCTGGTGAAACCATAATTAATCCGTACTAAGCGTGGGAAAACTTCCAGAGCGCACGGGCCACAGGATTTTGGCGAGCCCTGCAACTCAGCCATGCTCTCCTCAAAATGAAGAAAGGGAACAAATGGGCGACAGGAAGCAACTAATATTTCTTGACTGAAGTAACCACCCACTGAGAAAGTAATATTGCTTTAGCGCAGCTCAGTTTGAGCGTTAAAGAAAGATACTATGCAGTCAAGAAGGGTAAAAAACAGACCACAGTGGGAGCGCTACATTGTGGTCTGTTTTCCCCCCTTGTTGACTGTATAGTATCTCCTTCTCGCTCAAACTGAGCTGCGCAAAAGCAATATTATTTCAGAAGGAGTTTTGAAAAGATTTGTGATTAACTCATCAATAGGTACGCGCCTCTTCGTTACAGCTTCGCTGATTACCCATCATGTACGGAGTGCTCAAGGGAGAATTTGATAATTGTCTTGTAAAGGGTTGCTGGGTTAAGGCGCCTGTAATGACGTAAAATGAAAAGGAAGTCCCACAGGCCAATTCACTATGATCAACAACCTCGTTTGTCTGAGCACATTACATTTCCTTACCTGTTCTTATAATGTGAGAAGCCCTTGTGAAGTGGTGTTCAAGATGAAGTGGTGACTGTTTTCAATGAAACTGCATCGGCTGAAGGTAAGGAGACACCCTGTATACAAAACGTCATTTCACAACTCACATTTGCGCGAATAAAACGGTCACTAGCGTGCGTGAGCATGTCTTGAGCGAAGGCAATCAACCAAGGATAAAAGGTCCTCAGACAAACAAAAACATTTGTGCAATTCAGAGTACAAAGGCAAAGCCGAAATTTATTCCTTTTACTTCTCGAGGGTACTTTCATTTATTGCGCTAACCACTCATCTGCTTAAATCTACCTAACTCATTGTGAGTAGGGTGCTGCAGGCGCATTTGCATGATGCGTTTTCAGAAGCATCACCTAATTTTACCGAACGTGAGGCGTTGATAGCGACATATTGTACCGATCACTCTTGCATAATAACGTGGCTTGTGTCATTATTTATGCACTGCACCTGAATATTATCAGGTGCACACGCAGGCCAGCTCTTTCGTGTTGACAGTACTGACAGCGCTTTCTCTGACAGGTTTGGTGTTCGAAATCTCGCAAGGAAGCCCTGAGGCAACAAATTCAGTACGACAGTCACAGCCCGAAGCAATACAGGTAATGGCGGGAAAACATTGGAGCTGGAACTCCAGATTTTAATGAGGCCGCCAGCCTTGGCAACTGTGTTAATTTTTATAGGTTTCAACAAAACAAAGGTAATTATTATTGTATTTACGTACGCATAAGGAACAGATAAAAAAGTAAACTACATGTTTGGAAAGCATGGACAGCTTTATGAGAGTGAAATCCAAGAGAATATATAATCATTATTATTATCATTATCATTATCATCTTTAATAATAATAATAATAATAATAATAATAATAATAATAATAATAATAATAATAATAATAATAATAATAATAATAATAATAATATAATAATAATAATAATAATAATTATATTATTAATATTATTAATTATAATGGTATCATTATCTACATATTCCAGGTACCATCAGCAGTAGAAGAAACAATGTAAAGCTTAGTGATGAAATAAAGTGAACATGACATCAATGTTTAGGGCAATAAGTCCTAACGAAACACGACATACCAGAACACAAATAAGCTGGGTGGCTTAACTCTAAGACGAAGCGCATAATAAATGCCCTGAAACTAAGAGCGACAAGCAGTCAATAACTGTGATGCGCTTACATGAATTCGATATTTTCAAAATGCGGAAATGTTTGCTACTTGGGGTGGGGGGACTTGACTGACAACATTAGCATGCCTCCACGATTCCTGTTTGATGACATATGCACACAGTGATTAAAATAGGTAAACGTTTGGACAGATCTGCTGTAAGTATTTTATGCAGTTATTCAAGTGGCCGTGTAGTGTGTTCAAGACACCTGAAAGGCTGAAAGGCTATTCGAGTTCTTCATTTGCATTGAAAAACATTTTGAATTCTGAAATGATACATGCAACAAATTTCTACGAAAGAACACAGGTAAGCGCGCTGAGAACGTAAACCGGATATCAAGAGTGCTCTACTTTGAATGTTCGTTTGTTACAGAACAACAGTTTTCTCAGAGTACCTTATGACGAACATTTTAGCTTTGAGTGTGTAATTGCTATTTGTATTATTTGGAATGGTTATATGTGATACTATCTCTTGAGAGTTAACAGCACCTATAATACGGATGTCGGTAGTGAGTTACTTATATTGGTCGTGATATCGAAGCCGTGCTATTATCTGAAGAAATTAGATGCTTCTGTCTGCAATGTACTGCATTAGATGGAAAGACACACAGACCAGAGCGTAGATTTAGGTCCTCAGAAAAGGCACTCTTTGGGGAAATGCCACGGGCCACTTGGACGAAGGGGCGGGGAAACCTATACCTTCCCTACTGCATCGTGGGCTCTCTGAACAGCCCGTAGTTGAAGTAGGAACTCTGGTCTTCGTGAGGCAAAGTCCTGGACCTGTTTTATGAGCCGACTTCGGCCCGTAGCGAGTGCAGCACCAGAGGTTGTGATTTAATTACTAACCTCGCAGAAGTCGAGGCAGGTAGACTGGCAAGTCTTTGAAGAGACGATGCTGAGGAAAAGTGTTTAGAAAAAATTGTCAACGATTCAGAGTACTTGGTACTCTACTATGGTAGAACACTAGGCCGTGCCCTTGTCCTCGCAGTCCACGAGGTCACGTATAGTTGAAGAATCAAAGGAAAAGTAGACGAGGATAAGGCCACGTCTGTGGCATTCAAAAAGTGACAGCCTGAGCTCTAGCCAACTTACTCTAGGAGGAACAGACCACCTACTTAGCTAGTGGTTTTTAATTATTCAACTAAAAACCATTGAAAAGCACAAGCTTTGAAGTTTGTTCTGACAAAGACAAAAACATATGATACGCACGCTGTCCAATATATTTATTTACTCTTTGCATGAAATCATTGCCATCTTGAAGAAACTTCGTGGCCTGCTTGGCGCGAGATGGTATGCTAACCCCCGTATTCAGAAACACTGCGTGACTTGATCTTGACTTGCCACCGACTTCAATGCAGCACGAACGCGTTTCAAACGCTCTGTCTTTAGGCGGGGCCAAGGCAGCACAAACGCACAGACGCGTTGAGAACGCACTGCATTGAAAGAGGTTTCAAGTAAAGTTCAAGTCAAGTAGCGTTTCTGAATACGGTGGTTACTGTGCTTTATCAGCAGCTCCGTTGAACGTATAGTACGTCAAAAGTTCCACCATTGGTGGAGCTGAAGTGCCGTTAGACTCAGAAGTATTCATTCAAACTAACGTCATGTATGTTTAAATCCTGGCCTGTGGTAGAACTTCAGTTATGCTATTGTAATTGCCCAATTCAATACTTTTTAAGTACCTTTTAATTTTTTTTCGCAGAGTCAACGTGCCCATGCAAAACTTCTACGCCTTTTCAAGTGTGTTTAAGTGCAACAGATCATCGCCAATGTATTATAAAAAGAAGTGTGTTCTCTGGTAAAAAGGCTGCGTGTGCCACGTTCGACAACGAATAATATTTCAACTGATTCCGAACTAGTCACAATAATCATTGCAATAAACGCGTAGCATCATAAAATAATGTTATTCTACTGCTTATGCGTCTTTATGCTGTCATTCTAGAAAAGTGTTGTCCGAGTCCTCTGGAAGGGACCCCTGAAGTAGCGAGCATTGACGTAGTTCTCTTGGGCAATGAATGCACGCCGATTTGTGTTTTTGTTTTTTTTCTGCTATGATAGTGGTGGCACTGGCCTGGAGGACAGCGTCGTCTTCATGAGTCCCAGAACCTTCTTATAAAGCAAGAACTGATTTATTTTATTTATTTATTTATTTATTCATTACAATACTGATACTCTCCTTCAAGAGCGTGGCAGTTGAGTAATACAGTAATTTTTCACACACACAAAAAGGATGTGGACGGAAAAACATGCAAGCATAATAACAGGACATGAGGATCATATGACCATTGAGCAGTACAGAAGTTAACGTTAATTATGTTATTAATACACATTGTATGCAATAATCCCAAGATACAAAGCAAGTTATAGCCATTATACAGAGCTGAAACCATGCCGAAAGGCGATAGAAATAAAATACATGATTGAAGAAAGGAACTTATGTTAGCATTGGTATCGTGAGGGAAAACATAAATGAAACAGTTGTGACAGAAATAGCAAGCACTGAAAGCATACTTAAAAAATAGCTATACTACTGTGAAAGGAACATTGAAAAAGGTGTTGCTTTAACTAACGAACAGCAGATCTGGACCGGTGCGCCTGCATGCGTATAAACTGTTATGCGCGCCCAGTTTTTTCTATCTGTGCAATAAATTCTGATAGCGATTGGGAGTTTGTGATAGTGGCATCAAGTTGGTTCCATTCCGCTATCGCGCGCGGGAAGAATGAGTACTTAAACGTGTCGTTCCTACATGTGTATTCTGACAACGTGCGCGCATGTTTATTGCGAGTTTGCCGAGCCTGTGAAAATGAAAGTTATTTGGATGAATCTATCTTGTAGTTATTTTTTACTAGCTGGAAAACGTATTTTAAGCGAGCGTGTTTCGCTCTTGTGGACAGCGTTTGTAAACCTGTCTGAGTTAAAAGATGTGTTGGGGAATCTGTGCGTCTATATTTGTTGTAAATAAATCTTACAGCTTTCCTTTGTATTGCTTCTAGTTTGGTTATATTAGTCAGCGAATACGGAAACCAGACAGTGTTTGCATATTCTAAAACTGGTCTTACGATTGATGTGTAAGCTAGCAGCTTTGTTGGCGTTGTTGAGAGCGCTAGAGTTCGTTTTAAGAAGAATAGTTTACGTAGCGCCTTCGAAGTTATATTAGCGATGTGTTTGTCCCATTTGAGATCAGAAGTCAGTGTAACTCCTAGATATTTATGTTCCTCAACTTTATTAAGAAGTGTGTTAATAATGGGGCATGGGAAGTTGGATGGTTTTGTTTTTCTGCTTACGGTCATTATTCCTAATTTTGTGTGTTTATTTTTATTTGCCATTTAGAGCACCAATTAGCCACGACAGTTTGAGAATTATTAAGCATAATGTGATAATTGTAATGATTAATTTCTCTATAGATCACACAGTCGTCTGCAAATAGCTTGATGTTGCAAGTGATGTTAGCAGTGATATCATTAATATAGAGCAAGAAAAGCAATGGCCCAAGTACCGAGCCTTGGGGAATGCCGGATGTTACTGCTACTGTGTTAGAAAACATCTGTTCCTAGAGTACAAATTGTGACCTGTTAAATAAGAAAGCTTTTATCCAAGCGGAAAGTTCTCCTATTCCGAAAACATTTTCTACTTTAGCTATTAGTTTGCTGTGGCATGCACAGTCAAAAGCCTTAGATAGGTCAAGCAGAATTAAGTCAGTTTGACCACGATTATTAACTGTAATGGCAAGGTCGTGAACTAGTTCAGTAAGTTGAGTTACCGTCGATAAGCCACTTCGAAAACCATGTTGGTTAGGGGAGAAAAAATTTATGTGCTCTAGAAATACTGTCATGTGTTTTAAGATTATGTGTTCGAGTAGTTTACATGAGGTGCTGCTCAATGAAATAGGTCTGAAATTAAAAAAAAATAAAACGATAGTGTCATTGTACGATGGAGATTAGAAATTACGAACTGAAATGGGTGCAGTCTAGGTTTCTGCAACTACCAGGGTGGGCTTCTCACTGGCTAACAGGCGAGCTCCCCAGCTAAAGTACATAACGTTGTGCATACAATCGGATGGACACAGGAAGTAAAGAAATGCAAACGGAAAGAGCTATAGGTTGATGGCCGAAGAACGGCACTTCTTTTTCTGTAAGCATTTTCTTTACCTGATAAATAGAAACTGAAGAATCATGAAGGAAATGTTAGTTTGGCTTGTAGCACGGGTTTCAACTCCAGGTGTCAGGTGACAACTATATATAGTACCTGCCTTGGCCACATATGAACAAAAAAGGGTGTAAAGCCTCTGTGTTTTCGCACGTTCCGTTGCCGGATGTGAATGTGAACTTGAAGTTACTTTTTTGTGTCAATACAGTCATAGTTACCTAAATATACACAAGAGGGAACTTTGCCGCTAGTGTCTATGGGAGCTGCCACACACGGTGGATCAATGAGCATGGGAATGATGGGTAATCGCAGATTTGTCTAACCTTCGTACTTCTGGCTCGGTGTGTGATCCTGTGGCTTGCTGTTTTTCGAACGAAGAAAAAATCGGCAAATGTTCAGTGGGTGCGCTTCACTACCTCAATATTTCATACGTAGTATTTCAAATCAGGTCACGAAGTTCAAAATAGTCTGTTCTTTCCTTCGAAACTAAAACGAAAAACAGCAATAAACAAAACCACAAGTGTGATTCGACGCCCGCACGTACGAAGACCAGATAAATTCTTGTACTACCTACCATTTCCTTGGTCGCTGAACGATCACAGCGCCAATGTCCCCTCTAGTTAATTTTGGGAAACTCTGTGGACACAGTAACTCGCAGAAGGCAGACACCCCCCACACCTATACCATATTCATTACAGGGAAGAGGGGGAGTTAACCGATTAAGGGAACTATACTCACGGATTTTGAACGCGGCATAAAAATTTCCAACATAGAGACTGGTACGCGCAATTTCTCAAGATAACCACGTCACGTCGTAACGAATCTGGTCTAACTAGAATTTTAGCACTGACCTCGAGTTTGAAAGCTGAGATCACGCGGTTATGACCCAAACGAAGGACGGCGAAAATGAGGTGCGCTCATTAGTCAGTCCTCATCTTAACAACTTTCTATGCGTGAGTAGCATACCTGTGCTCACTTGTACTTTTACCATCAGTGTTTTGAAGTGAAAGGTTACGACCGTGCAGCTTTTTGACGATTGTAGCAGTCGAGGACCACTCGTGTTACATTCTAAGAGCTGTTTTTTTAAAGACAATACTTTCTAGGCGATCTTCGACAGAAAAAGTTTGGTCTGTCTGTCTGTCTGTCTGTCTGTCTGTCTGTCTGTCTGTCTGTCTGTACATTCGTCTATTTGTCTGTCTGTCTGTCTGTCTGTCTGTCTGTCTGTCTGTCTGTCAGTACATTCTTCTATTTGTCTGTCTGTTTGTCTGTCTGTCTGTCAGTACATTCGTCTATTTGTCTGTCTGTCTGTCTGTACATTCGTCTATTTGTCTGTCTGTCTGTCTGTACATTCGTCTATTTGTCTGTCCGTCTGTCTGTACATTCGTCTATATGTCTGTCTGTCTGTCTGTCTGTCTGTCTGTCTGCCTGTCTGTCTGTCTGTCTGTCTGTCTGTCTGTCTGTACATTCGTCTATTTGTCTGTCTCTCTGTCTGTACATTCGTCTATTTGTCTGTCTGTCTGTCTGTCTGTCTGTCTGTCTGTCTGTCTGTCTGTCTGTCTGTCTGTCTGTCTGTCTGTCTGTCTGTCTGTCTGTCTGTACATTCGTCTATTTGTCTGCCCTAATGATACTTCAAACGGCACTATACTTCTGACCCCACCCGCAGCACCCACCAATATTGCTCAGGATACAGCGTTCATACTTGCGCGATCGTCAATTAAAAAACAATCATTGCGCATGATGATGTTTTGTATGTATGCATTTATACTATAGAAGGCACACACAAGTAACTCTAAGGGCCGTAGCGTTTATCGCGCTGCGCTGAGAGTGCAACGCGATGCTCAAAGAGGTAAGTGTTCGGAACGCTTTGCTAAGACGACACGGTGGTGGCACCTGCCCATAGCTTCGCGTTCTACACCTTATCACCTCCTAGACAGGCACGCATCTTTCTCCGCGGGCACGCAAACCTTCGTTTTCGAAGATAACTACGAGATGACGCTCGAGTCTAACGTGCCTCGATGCGCTCGTTCGCCTCCGCTACACGCTCGAGGCACTCAAGCACAGCGCCTACACAGCACCATTCACCGATTTTCTTGCGCACAACATCAAATAAACGTTTTGTTCACTCTCTTCAAACGCAAGACTGTCGTCTTTCGACGATCCTTGCAGTGTAACATGCAGATTCGGTGCCAACTTTTTTTTTTCATCATTTACCGCCGCAAACTCGGGGACAGGTCATTTCGAGAGGCGCGTCATCGCTCGAATTTTGAATTTTGGATCCGCAACGACGCTTGTATTCTTTCGGACTTGACCAAAAGGGGTAGAAAGGAGAGTGTGACATAGAATCGTGGCTACGCTGCATATAATGGAGAACCCCACGCACGCATTCGGTTGCAAGTAGTAATAAAAAAAAATGAGCTGGAACGGTCCAAGCGTGAAGCCAAGGAGAATTGCGTGAAGCCGTACCCACCAAAAGTTTCCGGCTGCAGCTGCTATCCTACTAGAGGTGTGATAAACTGTCGGAGTCTGGCGATTGAAACGAAGCGTTTCTCTCGCGCACCCAAGCAGTTTATTGTGACAACATTTTCGGGTGAAATAGTGCACGGAGTGCCTCTTTGTGTTAATAGTTACCCTTAGTAAGTCTGTAATTCTAGTTTGCTGAATATTTTAGAACTGATGCTATACTAATTGATGATTGATATGTAGGGTTTAACGTCCCAAAACCACTATATGATTATGAGAGACGCCGTAGTGGAGGGCTCCG